TGGGTGGTGTGTTCTTCAACTTCAAGCTGTGGTTTCTGGGTGCTGTTCACCTCTTTGAAAGATATTGCTTGAAGCAAACACTTCCAAATGGGTGTGGCTCCAAACCAAACAGGAGGGGTCACGCAGGTTTTGGTCCATGTTTCCACTTACCAGGGTTCCATTGTGGTACCGGTTTTTTGAGCCACAGCCAAATGTTACAGCAAGTTCGGGAGGACAAATCTCATTCAACACAAGCAAGCTGTCAGACTGACTCAAGATTCAAGTTACATATCAGCACAGGGTGATGCTTCCAAAGCGTCAAGTTCCTTTCCCAAATGCCCTGAAGCCCTGCTCGCCACTGATAGGTGTCTGATTTTCGCTTTGAGCTCGCCCTTGAAAAAGGCTGCGTGCCCAACATCTATGGGTTTAACTGACCTGCCCTTTCCCCGCCCCCCCCCCCCCCCCTCCCCACTCTGGATGGACAAAATCCTGCACCACCTAAGAAACCCTGCAAATCAACCAGCAAATTGCCTAGCAGAACTCGCCCAAAATCCTGGGAGTCCGGTTGTTTTCACCAGCCAAACCAGCCAAACTGTGGGTCTCACACCCGATACCGTGGACAAAATGAAGCTGAAAAACCCGGGTTTCTGATTCGATCCCCCTGCAAATACCAACAAACAATAGGTCTCAACCATGGGCTTCTTGGCTTGGTTGCGGTTGACCCTGCAAAAAGTGAATAACTTTTTGGGGGTTTAGTGGAAAACAAGATCCTTATTTCAACCCAAAGGTTAAAGTACCCAACTTGATTTCAACCCAAAAGTTAAAGTCCAAAGATCCCTTGCCCAATAGCAGCCAAGTTGGATCATGGGTTTCTTGTTTGCTGGGTTTCGCAGGGCATCAGGCATCCCAGACGCGCCGCAAACCCCCCGGGCCTGAAGGCTTCAGTGCCCAAGCGCTTCCAAGGGACCGGCTCCAAACTCGTAGTCCTAACCCGCGGATCGCAACGGAGAGCAACCAGTGCTGGCTACTTGGGTAGCCAACTGAGGGTCTCACCATCTTCTTTTTTTATTTTTATGGGGGACTAACCTGGTAACCAACTTAGTGGGTTGCCATGTGTTTTTTAGGGGACTATATAACCCCAGTTACACCACTTACGACCTTGGCTATAGTTCTAACCTACTTGCTAACTTCGTTGAACATCCAAGTATTGGGTGACAGGAAATGGCACGCACTCCCCATGTTGGTTTAATCATCCCCCTTCCTGAAACACATGAACAAAATTATGCCATCTACTTTCACCTTGTACAAACGTTGATAGGAAACAGTGGTTTGTTCCTCTAGTTTTACATGATGGTTCCGCTTGAGTACCTGCGATATCCTGCTATGATGGTATCTGGGGGCACTAGGGTCGATTCGTCCCCACTTTTGGGACATGCCCATGGCAGTATCCCATTTGTTGTGATTTGACTATGTTTTGTTCCGGCGAACTGTGCCTCAGAAAACAGCTTCATATGCGACCGAATCCCAGTCCGTAACCTACGAATCTCAATGTGACTCGTTGCTCGAACCATTCTGGTTGGCGATCTTCTTGATCCGCGCTAGGCGCTGCAAAGCGTGAATTGAAACCTTATGTTGAAGCATTGAACGCCCACGCAGCACACAATCCGTAAACTGCATCATCAGCAATTCGGCTGTCATTGGAATCGGATTATGCGTTGAACCAGCTACTGACACAAATACCCGAAAGTTGGTAAGGCAGAAAACGTTTCCAGCCTGGGCACTAGGCGACCAGCATGGTACCACGGTAGCTTAGGTCTCCGAGAAACCAAAGAGAAGCCTTCACTTCTCAAACCGTTGAGGGGTGATCTTCTTTCGACTCGGAGTAATCAAGTTTCCTGGGCCTATGGGTGTGTCTTTTTTGCGGGTACCTGTGTTGTTGGTGTTTTTTTTGCTTTGGGGGGGGGGGGCTTCGAAACAATCTGGGTTTGTTTGTCTCACAATGCTCGGGGGCCTCCAAAATGTTCGGGAACCAAAATCTTCGGGAACCCCCCCCCCCTTGTGGTTCCCTTTAAACCAACTCAAAAAATGGCACCAAGCCTCAAAATGGAAGGGTGTTCCAGTGCTACATGGGCGGTGCGTCTTTTTTGAGAATCGGACACCCCCCGCGCCCAGAATAGCAAAAAAGGTTCTCCTCTTGGTGTTCCTTTAAATCCCCACAAAGAAGGGCTTACGCGCAAAAACACGACCCCCCAGAATGGTAGTTGTCCGTTTGGTGTCCCTTGAAACCAACCCCAAAAGGGGTTCCCCCTCCCCCCGAAACGCCCAGATTGGCACTATGTCAACCCAGTGTCCGAATGAACCACTCGCGGTTTCGCGTTCGTTCCCCTCCTCTCGGACAACGGCGCAGCAAAGTCCCCTAGGCAGCGCGGCACGTGGATCCGCGCCTGAGGTGATCCGACACGCGACACGCCGACGCGAATTGGGGTGTGCGGTTTCTTCAGGGGACCCCCAAAACTGGGGCGGTTGTCATGTTGCTTTCCTTTCAAAAGCACAAAAACAGGGCACTCTCCAAAAAAGACATTCGATTCCCCTGAAAAAAAGGGGCGGTTGGCCTTTTAAAGGGCAACCGATTGACGCCAATGTATGGGGTCCATTTTGCAACTTTAATTGTGACACAAAGAGAGAGAGAGAAAGAGAGAGAGAGAGAGAGCGGAAGAGAGAGCGACAAAGAGACAGAGAGACAGAGAGACAGAGAGACAGAGAGACAGACAGACAAACAGACAGACAAACAGACAGACAAAAAGACAGACAAAAAGACAGACACAGACAGACACAGACAGACACAGACAGACACAGACAGACACAGACAGACACAGACAGACAGACAGACAGTCAGACAGAGACAGACTGACAGACAGACAGACAGACAGACAGACAGACAGACAGACAGACAGACAGACGGACAAACAGACAGACAGACAGACAGACAGACACGTCCACACATGTTAGCGGGTTGCAGGTTTGTCCTTAGACCTTGTGTGCTGCGACCGCTGTGTGGGTACTGACTGTACACCTTGTACTTTCTTGCAATGACCCCTTAAGCAGGAAGAGACTTGCCAAGGGTTTCGTATAATTTTTACCGGGCCTTGCCTTTGACTCTTTGACGGAAACATAATCAAAAAACACAAGGATCCCCCCAAAAGTGTAAAAACTCGATGAACAACTCCTTCTAAGAGGTCATGATGGTCATGTTCATTTCCACACAGAACGGGAGTAAAAGGCACTTCCGGTTTTCCGGCACCCACTGGGCAAAACGCATTCCGAAGGACTGTGGTACTTCCTGAGACGGGTGGTCAAAATTTTCAACCACCAAGGAACTGAAGGTGTTGGTCCTTGGTTCCACTTGCCAGGGTTCCATTTTGGGTACCTATTTTTGACCCACGGCCAGAGTCGAGTCCAGCAGATCTGAACTCTGCGCCATAATTTGAGTCCAGAAATTGGGGGGAACTGAGCACCCGATGTCTGCAAACAAGGGGCGCGACAATCACTTGCCCATTTCTGGTGACCAAAAATGATGAACTCAGGCACAGGGGCTCTCAGACTCACCTATAACCCACATGTTGAAAGCATGTCAGCTTCTTGTCTACTGTTCGTTCAATGCACGCCCAACAGAACAAAGATGCACACTACCCTTTCCGCAACGAGTCACGCAAGTGGACAGGAGGCATGTTGGGGAAAATGGAAAGCTTCACTTCAAGACTTGCGCGGAGGATGAGTCTGTCTTCAGTTAGGGGACACCTAAGTTGGTTGGATCTCCCCATTGGCGTTGACTGAAACTCTGAAAGGCAGGCCCCTCGTTCCATACCACATCAAGTCTAGACAGTGTCGGTTCCCTCCCTATAGCTTCCCCCTGCACTTCTTCAGCCCTCGTCGCTCCCCCTGGGCGCACTTAGATGGTGCTATCTACGTTTGTGTTCCAAACAAAGTTCCCCCCCCAATGTACCCGGTCTGTGAACACCAGTTGCTTGGAATCCTAAGCATTTGCCGATCACCCCAAGGCCATCTAAGAACCCAGTCAGGAACCAGGATGTTCAACCCACACAGTAAGGCCGGTTCTTAGCTGGGGCTTGATCCCGTTACCATAGTCACAACCTACTTTCTACGTGGGTTGGACCCCTGAGCAACACCAGGGTCGCACAAATACTAAAAGGTTGCTCCAATCCTATTGCTTATTGTGGCTTTGAACCATCCCACAACCATTCTATTGCTTAGACCCTAGTTGATTCGGCGGCCACATACCAACTCTGGGCCGCCCTGCCGAAGGCATCAACCGGAAGATGCTCTGCCTAAGCGAGCCGAGCTTAGAACTTCTGTTTTCGGACGGTTACGCTGAACACTACCTGAGTGGATGGCCCAAGAATATGTGCCCAAACTGTTTGTTTTGTGTACCGCTAAAATGCTCCAAGCCCAACATGTAAACCTCGGGCTCCTATTTTTGGAGACCCCAGAAAATCCCCCCGGTTTTTATTCTGCCATACGCAAAAGGGCCTGGACATTGATTTTTGCCTTTGGTGATCGTTGTGCCCTGCTGCCGCTCTTAGCTCCTCCCGGATCACATCCGTCGAATCGAAGCGCATCCCAAGGCGAGGGCTGCAGCAGCGGCCCCAGCTGCGACAGCAACTGCTGCCACGCGGAGGCCGTGGCCCCGGGGCTCGCGAGGCCTCGGATGCGGAGCGATCCCATTGGATGGAAAGCGAAGGCACGCGTGCAGGCGGCGCGCGCGGGGTACTCCAGAAGAGTGCAGGGGTCACTGGATTTGTTCCTTGAGTTGGACTTTGGTGGTTTCCATTACGACGATCGCCAGATTGGTTCCAAAATACGGAAATGGCTCGCAAGGTTTGAAGGGCGAATGCCTGCACCTGTTTCTGGCTATATGGTACCAAAAAAAAAAGAGACACACACCCCTTTCGTTCCCCAAGACATGTTTGGCGTTTTTCAGGGTACCCTTTGTTGGGATGGCTTCAAAAGGGAGACAAATGGAGCAACCATTTCGAGGGTCGCTTCGTTTGAGACGACAAACCCCACATGGGGATTGAACCAGATGGAACAAAAGGGGTTCTTTGAGACTGGTTGTGGTTTTGGTGGGTTCCCCTTCCACCACCTTTTAGACAGCTGATTTTGAGAAGGGCACTGCGGCCAACTTGCTGGTATAGGCAGGCCCCCACCAAAGATCCGAGTGGTCAACCTCCGATGCTCAGGAAACAAGTGGCTCGAGTTAGCGGGAAGATGTAAAGGCACTCGATATCATCGGGATGTTACATGGATCTGGAACACACACAAAAAAAACACTCAGGTGACATCCCCAGCAAACAGGCATCACCAGAACTCGGAAACGCCCCACGCTTAGGAAACAGCTTCCCCTGTTGGCGTCCTTTGTTCCACTTGGGTCCCACGCAAACCCCGAAGACGGGAAAACCTGCGGATCACGCGGAGGCTTTAGGACTGGAATGTGAACTCTGCGGGTGGATGCACTAAGTATTGCAACCAGCCACACTCGACCACAAAACGATGGCAGAACGTTGAGGCCTTAAGCATTTAGGCGTTCGTTTTTGAGTTGGCACCCCTTTGTTGTGTGGTGTTAAGGGGAGCTCTTCAGGAAAACCAGTGGCCATTTTGGGGTCACGGTCCGATTCCCAAAAAAAACATATTCGAGCTGGTCATAGTTGCTATACCCTTTCGGCTGCAACCATGCATTGTCTACACGTGCTCTCTGTGGGCGTTGTACCCTGCAAGACTACTTGCGTACATATATGCCGTGCTTGTTTGAAGCTTCAACAATTGTCTTGTGCATGTTGAAGCTTGCAATGTTGAAGCTTGAAACCAAACAGCTTTAAGGAACTTAAACGGAACTTCTCTGCCCCACGACTCAATGCAAGTCCTATATCAGCTTTGGAATCGCTGGCGCATCGGAGCATGAAAAGTAAAGCCAACAGAAGTTCCAGAAAACTCCTACAGATCCTTTGTGGTCATGATTGAAAAGTCTGGGGTCAATTCTGCGCATGGTTCCGACTGGCCCATGTGGCATCTCAGTGCTCCTACCTGCGATAGAGGCCCTGCTCTTTCCAATTTCAAACCTGTGTGGTTTACCTCTTTTATGCGCCAAACCCCGGTTTGTTCACCTCCTCACAACTTTTATGCGGCCAAACAAACGGTAACCTGTCGGTGCCTCCAAAGCGGTGGTCCAGTGTATGGCAGGAATGCGGTGCATGATAGCTCACTTCTGGAGTGGAAAAGAGAGTCAGGCCGAAACTTCCTTTTGCGGAGAATTAACAATCGCGGGCTATGGCGAATTAGCACCTGGCCTTGTTCCCCCCCCCCAAAAAAAAAACGTAGTACGCGCCCACCTGTGTGAGTCAGTCGTGGTGCCAAGTCTTGCATAACTGACAAACTGCTCAACTCAAACTCAAAAAGGGATGGGCGACCCGGGTCCAACATCAAGTGGGCTTCGAATGGATGCTGCAAGGGTTGGTGCAGTGTGTTGATTGCCGGATACCTCTTTTGGGTTGGCTCTTCTTTCGGGAAACCAACGGAAACCGTTGCTGTTTTGAGGAATCTTGAAATGAACCCAGCTACTTGCTGTTGACCTCTCTGCAAAAAGTTTAACTTGTTGTGGGTCCAATGGAACATTCACAGTCTCGCAAAAAGTTGGAGTCCAAAGATCCATCCAAATAGCCACAAAGAATAAGGGCTGAAGGGGTGCCGAAGTGTCCACTGCAGGCGTGCCTTGGCAGGAATTCACAGAGAGCAACAGTGGGATGGGTTCGTCAAAGGGGTGCCCCCAGGATCACACCAAAGAAGTCACCTCCGCATATCTCCCCCCATTCTCCTGGTCACATCCGGGGACCAAACGCACAACCGCTGGAAGAGGTAGAAGCCACTGAGCGGCTGAAGCCGAAGAGGCGCTCAGGCGCAAGGGCTCCCTCAACTTTCATTCCCCAAATGGACATCACATTGAATTGGCAACCAAAAGGTGATGTTTCAAGCACTGCACCTAACAAAATACAAGTCTCCCAGTGGTCAGGATGTTTATCTTCATTCATCCTGGCTGAAAGTAAGAAGCCCCGGACAAATGTTTACTCATCAAGGTTTGTCATTGAGCCGATCAATCGCAGTGGGGCCCTTCAAAACCCTCCGCACCTTCGCTGTTCTCCAGGTTGCTGAAGAACTTAAGGCCTAAAGCCGTGAAGAGTCGCAGCAAACTTCAAGACTTCTCAACCCCGGAAATCAAAGTGGGATCAAAAGGCTTGTCTCATGATGTCTCATGAGGGTATCCCGAAATGGATGTTCCTTTTTGTTGCCCTTTCACACAACCTTAAAAAACGTACCTAGACCCTCACCATTCCCTTAAAATGTGTTATTGCCCCGACCTCTTTGTTTTGGGGGTGGTTTGAGAGTCCGGGTACTCTCAAACATAAAAAACGTTAAAACCACACATATAATCAACAAACACATCGTTCATGGCTTCTGTTTTCTTTTTGGATGAGGATCCGCAAGTTGGTGCCATCAACACTTCAGCTTCCCTCCAATTGGTGGTTTGGAGCCGAATCGGTGGTTTGGTGGTTTTCCGGAGGGCATTCCCATTGACAGGGGGTTCAAATCCCCCAACCACCAACCACAAGTTAAGCTTGAAATATGGGTATACACATACCTGGGCCTCGTCGGCAAATTGGAGAAGCCTCAAACACACACGCGCACAAACACTCTCACTACTTTCCGGCCTGCGCACGCGTTCTGCCTCGATGGAAACACAGCACATGGAAAACACATCATATGACAACCCCCGTAAATACGAGAGAACAACTGCAGCGGAGAGGCGAGCTTCGTGATAGTAACATGTTTTTTTGTTTAACACAGGGCAGGATTCTGAGACAAGAGAAAACACGCAAGACTGCCACCCACTTCCTTTAAGCCAGTTGACACAGCAACGGCTCAAACTGCATACCTAACTACCGTAAAGATGAATCCATTCTCCATGAGGGATAGTTTTTGCCTTGGTGCAGTATGCCTTTTCGTTGCGCTATCGTATCCAAGGGCCCCCTTGAAGGGCCCCTTTTGTGGAACGGGCAAACAAGCCTGTGTTTACCACCTATGTTCGGTTGCAAGTTGGCCACACCTCCGACAGGATTCCATCGTATGCTACGTTGGGACAATTCTTTGGGTTTGTCAGTAGGAAAGAACACGCCCAAATGGGTGTGGCTCAAAATTAAACGATCGGAGAGCAAACCGCAGGTTTTGGTCCATGTTTCCACTTTCCAGGCTTGATTTTGGATTTCCGGTTTTTTGAGCCAAATCACTACACAAAGGGATCAAGGGCCAGGAGGAATAATGGTACAAGAGTATCATCCACCCCCATCAAGACTTCTTGTCCATCAGGGCGGGTTGCCTCAAAAGTGACTTTACAGCTCCAATCCTGGCAGAAGCCAACTGGCAAATTAAAATCGCGTGGGCGATGGCCGGTTGGGTCTGTCTCAAAATAGGGAACCGCATTTTGGATAGCTCTAAAGAGATGCCAAAAAAAAAGCAACAACCATCTGCAGGGATGCCAAATTTTGAGACACCCCCTCAGTCTGGTACCCTCTTGTGTCTGTTTTTGTCAAGGCAAACCAAGATAATTGTCCAACAAAAGGGAGCTATCCGCTCTCCTTTCGGAGCAAGAATCTAGCGGCCAATTCCCTCTTCTCTTCACCCATCCTTCTGTTCAGAAACCCATTTGCCCTCACTGTTGGCCGATGTCTGCGCCAAAATGTGAAGAGAATGGAGGTTTGCATGGCTAGAAACGAGGTAGATGTTGGGCGCTCGTTGAATTAGAAACCAGAAAGACCGGAGATTCCCGAAGATCCGGGCTGGGGCCCGAGCTGCATTTGGGCTCGGTGAAAAGCTGGATCTCCTGGCCACTGGCCAGGGAGGTTACTGATCGTCTTTTTGCGCCTGGGATGCGAAAAGGAAATCAAACATTGGCTGGGTCCTCCAGTAGAGCGGTTAGAACAAGGGTACCAGCTTTTTTCCTGTAGTCTTCAGTAGGGGAACCGAATCTTCCCAAAGGGGCACTGGGCACCTAGCCGGGGGAGGGGCTCCGGGCTCCCTGTTGCTTTGCAGCACTCGGCTCCTTTTCGGCACCCTGGAATTTCCCCGACTGAGCCCAGAAGCCAATGTTGATATCCCCTGGCTGGGGCCATGCGAGCACGTGAACGACCTGACGCCGATCTCAAATCCCAAAGTGCCAAACCTGGCGTTGAAAGACCACATTTGTGCAGGCTCTGCTTCGATGTTTCTGTGAATTCTCCCTGGAGCAGTGCAAGAGAGCCAGGTGTAGTAAAACCCACGCTTGCCGCTCCTCTTGTTGTTGCCAGCTGGGTGGTCCAATGCAAATGCCAGGCATGGGGCTGCTCTTGGACCCTCTGCGAATCTTGCGATGTAAATGTCCCGCACTAGATAAGTTAAACATTCCCTTGGCGAGACACAAGCTTGCGACCTATTGGGCCTTCAACCTGTCGACCTGGAAACTGGAAACGAGGATGGGGACGAGAGAAACCAATGTTTGATTGGACGGCACGCTGTCAACAAACTGAAAAAATAAAAGAAAGGACAAACAAAAAGCAAACGGAAAGGAACACCTTGCAGCTAAGACAATGACAATAGGTCATCTGAAGATATCTGAAGGATAAAACACACTTATGTTGCTCTTTACACTTGGGGTGCACTATTCCTAATTCAGGTTGAATCCCAATTTATCTCCCCAATGTGATTGCAGTCACAACCACAGGAAAAAACCTGTAGTACGGATTTGGCATCCATGCTTCAGAATCAGGCAATGGCGCTTGCCGTGAAGTTGGTTGATGTTGACAGCAAGATATTTCAGCAATTTGGAGGTGCCAATACTTTTAGTCACCATCTGGAAGCTGATAAAACCCGGGATGGGCTACCACATTCTTACAGAATGCTAAAACGGTCCGTCTATGTGCTCGTTTGACGTAGCCACCCTTTGGAGGCTGTTCAAATGGTGACCAAGAATCAACCAACTAGTGAGGCATGCCTGATTGTCGGAAACCTCGCCGTGATTTCCCAAAAAAGAATCGTGACAACTCTGAAATCTAGAAACCCTCCCACGTTTGACATCCCAAGCAAATTGGTCAGAAACAGTCCACGCGTTTTGCTTGCTCGAAAAACTAGATTTGTTTCACTCCCTACGTAATGCACGCCTCTCTCAACTGACGGACCCCATTCAGCAATCAGGGTTCTATAAATTCTGGGTTCCCATATACACCGTTGCCGCTGTCCCCGCAAAAAGTCAGCTTTTTGCTGCCCAAAGGGCAATCCAAAGAAACCGCAGAGAGGCAAAAAGCGTTGAAAAGGCAAGCTAAGTGTGTGTGTGTGTGATTGGTACCCCTGCTTGGTCTGTTTCAACGGAAAACCCAAAGGACGAAACCACCATTTTACTCGGTCCCCCCCCCCCCCAAACAAAAAAAACTAAGCCTGGTACCTTTTTTGCGGAAGCCCCGTTCTACCCCCGCAAAAGCTCGCCCAGCGCCTCTCCGAAGGGTCGCAGTTGCAAGCTGCAGCCGGAGCGCCTCAGCCCAAAGTTGCGGAGCTTCAGTTTGCCCGCCTTTGCCTGGCGAACTGTGTCGCTATGTGGCTGTGGGTCAAAAATATGTACCCAAACTGGAATCCTGGTAAATGGAAACATGGACCAAAACCTGCGGTCCCCTGGTGGTTTAATTTTGACCCATACCCATGTGGGTACTGAATGGTAGTGTTAGGGAGCCAAAGGGATGGCAATATGAATGGGGGATCTCATTTGACATGGCTTTTGCTCGCTTGCTTTCTGCTCCGCTAAAAGCGAATACCTTTTAGTGGTTTAATGGGGAAAACACGGGAAAACCCATTTGGCAAGAAGTAAAAGTCCTAACATCCAAGCAACATGTACCTCTGTGTTTCAGTTCCCTTTCACAAACGGAACCTTCTTTGGTACCGCCGGTGTCGTTTTCCAGCTCGCGCTTCTCTGAAAAATGCATGGCAACAGCACCGCGAGGACCCGTATTCACCTTGGTTTGAAGGAAACCCATAGCAGTCCAAATCCCCATTTCGACACACATAATGTTGGACCTCCTTTATTATTGGTCCTCGCTATTGTAGAATTTTTTCCCTAATTCAGAATCCTGTGACTGTTTTAACGGTTCGCTATTGTGGCAAGTTTTTTTGCCCCCCCAGAAAAATCTCAAAAAACGCAGAGCTTCTTTCTTCGCTTTCTAGATTTGCTCGGGCTCAGGCTAAACTTGCTAAGCCTTGGTAGCTCCTGTTGAGCTGGAGGCTGGTTCTGAGCCAGAATTTGAAGTGGTCCCCAAACCATCAAATTTAAGATAACTTCTTTACGAAAAAGTGCGGGCAAACAGTCACACAAAGGGGGGTGCCCACAAGAGGCCCAGATCCTCTTTAATGCGATTGTTTTGGGGTCCTCTTTAGTGTCCAGTGGTTTCGGGGTTGCTGAAAACTGAAAACCGAAGCCTCAGCCTTTTACTTTTAAAGAAGGGGACTCATCCTAAGCTCTCCCCAGCTCAAAGGTTAAAGGCCTGAGATCTAGAAAATCGATTTTGCAAGTTGTTCCCAAACCATCAAATTTAAGATAACTTCTTTACAAAAAAGTGCGGGCAAACAGTCACACAAAGGGGGGTGCCCACAAGAGGCCCAGATCCTCTTTAATGCGACTGTTTTGGGATCCTCTTTAGTGTCCAACTGGTTTCGGGGGTTGCTGAAAAAACGACCCTTGGCAATACTAAAGTAGAATTGGCAATACTAAAGTAAGTACTGGGGATCTGAGAGTCAGCCTTGACAATACTAAAGTAGAATTGGCAATACTAAAGTCAGCACTGGGAATCTGAGAGGGGGCCTTGGCAATACTAAAGTAGAATTGGCAATACTAAAGTCAGTACTGGGAATCTGAGAGGGGGCCTTGGCAATACTAAAGTAGAATTGGCAATACTAAAGTCAGTACTGGGAATCTGAGAGGGGGCCTTGGCAATACTAAAGTAGAATTGGCAATACTAAAGTAAGTACTGTCCCTCCCAGATCCCCCAGGATCTCCCTAAAGAGAGTCCCGCCGACTGGTTCCACTGTTCCAGGGGGGGGGGGGGGTCACACTAAACAGAGTCCAACATTAATTACGCAGAGTGAGTCCGACCATACCGAAGAGGGCCGTGCAGGTTTATTGGCGTGCATGTCTGTGAGTCAAACTTTGCCTGCAACACCACCATTCAACAACTGCTCCATGGACCCACGTTGATCAACATGGTCCTCCGCCGACGCTGATTCGTTGGAGGTCGCTCCAAAACAACTTTAACGTATGAAACACAAACAGAGTGGAAACGCAATGTGGAACGACAATCGTACATGAAACTGCCAATAATGGTTTGAGCCTTGATGAACACATAGACATAAACGCTTGCACTCCCTTTCGATTTTGGGGTTCTGGGAGCTTCCACGGAATCGCCTGGGGTATGCGCCATTGCTTTCGGGTGAGAAGGGTGCCTCAGGGGGGAAGATCATCTGTCAAAACTGGTGTTTTACTGGCAGACTGGGTTGCCCCCAAACCAAGCGGTCCCTCGGGCCACCTCTTTTGGGTTCCATCCAGGCCATCCTCAAGTCCGTCACACACCTTCTCCAATCCCATAGCCTTAGCGCAATTCTCCATGAGTCTTGGGGTACACCCACTTGAGTCACCAGGAATTAACTGCATGGTTTTAAGCCCCATTTATATCATGTCCCCACATGGCCTTGCATTTCTGAGCGCCTTCCAACCAGTCCCTTTGGGACCGGCACCAGCGCTTGGCTGCTCTTGCGGACCTCAGTGCTCCACAAAGGGTGGAACTTCTATGAGCTTTCTTGGAAGATCATGACCCGTTTTGAGATATCTGCACATTTTGAGGAAGGGAACAGTTCTTGCGAGTCCGCGTTGATTCTTGGCGCCATTGCTACAGATGCAAGCATTGTGTCGTGGTAGAGATCTGTCCCTTCCAACAAGTAAAGAAGTTAAAGGTCAAAACAAGGGGCAACCGACCAGTGTTTCACCCCAAGCATCCCCACCCTACCCCCCAAAACCTCCAACTCCTCCTCCCATACCCCCATCGACCCCATATGTGAGGCCCCATGGGCCTAGAGGCCTCTCAGCTCTCAGCTCGAGCCCAGGCAGCCCCAAGCAAAAAACCCTTTCTAACTCACGATGTCCCCTGGGAGGCCCACCCAAACGAGGAAAAACTGACATGCAGAAGGCCCCCACCCAAACGAGAAAACATCAGACAAAAAAGCACCCCACACTTCAAATGGCGGCCACATACGCAAATAAGGAAACGAGGCCGCTTCACTGAGAGTCGGAGTGCTCCCCAAATTTGACACACTCGAATTTCTAGGCTAGCTAGCTGGCTAGCCAGCTACTTGGCCCGCACGCCTGTCAGCTAGCGAGTTAGCTATTTAGCTAGTTAGCTCGCCATCGAGTTTGCAAGTGTCCAAGTTGAGTACTTACCTAAACAATTGCTATTTCTTCCATAGCTAAACAGCCAGACAATTAGTTAGGTAGTTAATTGATGAGTCCATGAACAAGCAAACCAAAGCAAGAGTTGTTGACGGTCCGCCCGGATGTGCGCAGAGGGTGCATCAAGCAAGCTGAAAACGCAAACACCAAAAAAGAAGAAGAAGAAGAAGAAGAAGAATAATATAGTTCTTGAGGGCTGCCAAAACCTTTGATCATGACTTACTCATTGACTAAAGAAGGAAACAGCTGCTGGTTCGTATTCTCCTGCGGGTCGATCATTTCATAATCTAGCCAGGTACAACCCACATAACATGATCCCGGCCACGGTCTCTACAAGAAACGACTCCGGAAATTCCCCGGCCAACAACGATGCCCCCAGAAATTGGGAAGCCAAATGGCTGTCGGCCGAAATAAAGCCTGAAACACAGCTTCGCCAATTGGGTGTCTCTCAAAGTGGTGGACTCGTTTGGTTTGCATTTGCCCCAAATCAATAAACCCATCTTGCTATAACAGTGGGTGTGCCCTCCCATAGTGACGATTCCGCACAAAACCGTAGTTTATTGATCTGGGATCAACATTAATGCCAAGCATTTGAGGGGATGAGAACTCAGGGCATCAGTTTTGGGTTTCCTGCAATTTCCAGAAGTTCCGAAAATGGGAAAGCCTAAGCCACCCGCCCCAACGAATGGATGCCGCTCACAGGACTTAGGCCCATTTCTAGAATAAAGCTCCGTCCTTTTCCAGTTCCGGTAGCCACACGAAGCGTTTGTAACCCTCATGAAGAGCGTAGAGACTTTTTCTCCAAAAAAACGGATGCCTCACTTGTGGTAACTGGCTCCGGGTTTGGTTGCTCTCCAAAACCAACTAATCTTCGAACAAGGGTCCCATTTCGCCATTTCCAGAAGCTCACTTCCCCAGTGGATGGCCCCAAAAAAATACCAAAACTTGTTGTTTACCGCTAAAAATGGGCCCAGACCCAAAAAGTTGTTCAAGTCCGAAACGGAACTCAGGGAGAGAGGATTTGTTTTTTGGAATCCGCAGGTCGCGCCGTGGGCCTATGCGAGAGATGCGGAACTCTTGAGCTCCGCGCAGTTTGGCTTTGCAAAGGCCGCCTCGGCCATGAGCTTCTCCTTCGCTTCAGGCTGGCGGAATGGCCATGGGCCAAGATCCCATACCCCCAGAAAAAAAGGGACCCAATCCAAGCACTAAAATAGGTAACCTAAAATGGGTGGTGAATTCACCTACCAACCAAAATGGGATCCCAAAACGGTTTTGACAACCACAGCCAAAGGGTCCAAGAGTTGGGGCAACTGGCGAAGAACGTGAGCAAGGTCATGCAGCAGATAAGGATCCTTACCAGGATGACCACCCTGCCAACTCACGGCGACTTTCCCCTTAAGGCTTCCAGAGAGTTTCGATCGCCACCCTTGAAGCTTCCATCAAGAGGGAAATGGCGATCCGGAGTCCCAGCTTCTTGGGGCACGGGGGGATCCATGGTGTGTTCTGAAGACTTGTCGGTTGAGGAAAACCAAGTTGATGCTTGAAGGGGGAAAGGCGAAGGAATAACGCCTGTTCATGTCCGCGCAGCTTTGAAGAACCAGTTGCCAGTATTCCAGTAAACAAGAACTCAGGTTGAAATACCCTCCCATCAATAAATACAGAACCCGACTAAAGCCATTTCCTGGTAGAGGGACCTTCTGGTGGGTTCCACGTAGTGGACGGAGGGTAGATAGAGAACAACCCTAATCGAATGCACAAGCAGGGATCATGCTAAGAGACCCTGTTCCAATGCACGAGCAGGGACAATGAAAAGAGACGCAGGTTACAGTATACAGTAATATACAAAACTACAATCACACAATATTGTTAGTGTTTCTCATATCTCATTTTACTGTAACCGGTCAACCAGCATGTGTCTCATATCTCGTGATATACAGGTTGCACTATACTGTGACATACAGTGTACGTACGAACCAACACAAAGACAGCTAGCGCTGGGCGTCGCCCGCCTTGTGAGCTTTGGCGCTCGCAGGCGGCTTCGTCCCACTCCTGAAGATGGCCAGTGCTCGTCTTTTTTGGAGTTGCTACCCAGTTGTTGTGCTCTTAAAAGGACAAGGAAAGCCGAAGCTATTCTGGGGGGGGACCCCTAAAAGACACACGAATATGGTTGATGGACAAACTTAGGATGCAACCCTACCAAAAATGAGACATAAACCACCGACCAACTGGTGCCGATCGGCGTGGATCTTGTCCACGGGCCTTCCAAATGACGAGTGCTCCATCGGTTGGCATCACAGAAGTGAGGGAGCCGATCGAATCCCTCGTTCCTTCCACTAACTTCGTATTCTCCAAGGGTCTTCATGGGCAAGCTTGTACCCATGCGAGAGCTCTGTGACTTGCCCAAATGGACTTTTGACGAGGGGGGTCACCCATTATATGGCGAACTCCGGACGCTAGATGACGTTTGTTGGGGCTCCATGTTCATCTGCGTTCGAGTAGCAGAACATGAGAGAGTGCGCTACATAACTCGCAGCCCCATTTAACTCCTCCCTATCTAACCAGCTGTCAGGAAATCAGTCATCCCTTCTCTCGCTCGAATGCTCTTGGGGATCCAAAGCAATGAATCGCAATCAAAACCTGGTACCGAAATGGTCTGCCCGAAATCGTGCAAAACACAAACAACTAAAAGGGTGGTCGCACCTGCTTATGGTTGGGACATTCCCTACAAACCTTCATCTACCCGGGTTCGGATTGTGACTTCAGTTAATAACAGGGTCTGTCTCAAAAAAATGACACCCCTCCAGCGTTCCTCTTCGTTTCCCTTTAAAATCCAAAAGAGCACAGTTTCCCAAGATTTGGCATCAAGAACAGTTTGTTGTCCACCCAGTAAAAGTTGCAATTTGCTGGTGGTGTCCATTGAAACTGCCACTTTGAGAGGCTCCAAAAATAGACATGGATGGAGGACATTCTGTTTAAAGTTTGGAGCGAAGTTGATCTCCAAACATCGCAATAGCGCCTGAAACTTGATTGGTGCAACACATGTGCAGCCATCCATTTATTGCTTTCCTCTCTCATGAAGCTTGGACACAACCACGGATTGTTTCCTTTATGGCCTCTATGCAGAGAATGGTTGCCTACGCACCCAAATATATATACATATATATATATATGTAGTATTATATGTATATGTATAGTATGTAGAGGCAGGCTTGCGCTACTGAACTTCAATAACTGCTCTTGAATCACCCCGAGACGCGATTGATTCCCCAAGTAGTTTCTAGCTCGGAGGCTCCAGTAAAGCGGTTTGCCCCCGTGTCAAACAGAAAGAAAGGTACGCTGAAGAAGCGCAGCCATCGAACCGAAGGCATGCAACTGAGTGAATCCACTGGTCAACCTGAAGCAGAAATGCAGAAACCACCTTCTGCAAGATTATTTTCGAGTTGGAAAGGCTTCTTGCTAAAGTTTCCAGCTTGGTTGATGGATAACTAAAAACTCTCGCAAAACATCCAACATTTCCGAGCCACAACCTTCGGGACGCTTCTCTTGGAAGCTATCAAAGGTACCCCCCAAGCTTCGTAACCTTCTTGAAACAGCTTCTTCCCAAACACCGAATAGGCATGAAACAAAACGGAACGCGCCTTTTCGGGTTCTAACTTAGGGCTGGGTGTCTGAGGACCATTCTGGCCCGACCATTCTCGGGCTAAAGCGCTGGAACACGACCGCAACTCCGTAGCATCCGCGCATGAGTCAACCTCTCAGAATTGGACATTCAGGGGGGTGTTTCAGTCCCCCAAAAGTGAAGGAATGTATGATAAATGGAAAACCCCAGAACAATCAACAGGTTTATTGAGCCTGAGTTCAAAACTTATCACATCTTTGCCGCTGCATAAAACAACAGAGTACAACCCTTTTGGGCTTAACTCCTGCTCTGAGCCATCTTGCAGCCGTATGTTTCACACGCCTACGCGTTGCAACGACTCGACCTGCCCTCAGCTCCTCAGCAGTGGTCGACTTCAGGCTGCCCAAGCTATGCCTTTGGGCACATGGGTGAAAGAACTCAGCAGCGAAAGCTGCTGAAAGGCTTGACAACCTGCGAAACTTTGAAAGTTGATCCATAAATCCAAGCCTAGCTGCGCAAACGGATCAGTACTATCCCACTTCCCATTTGAAGGAATCTTGACTGCAAGACAAACGCCTGACCACCTGCAAAAATAGTAATTAGAGACTATTCTTCAAGCTGAAATCCATTCACATTGATCTTCACAAATTGATTAGTACCACCACAGCTGAAACCTACCTGCACCACAAATCAACCACCTATAAAGGATCAACACTGCAAAACCCCCAAAGGTAAGGGCGGGCAAAAACACCATGCATGCGGCCTCCCCAAACACAACGCCACCACCAAAAGTATCCTGCTCAAAAATACGATGATGGCAACATTACCACCGTCAAAATCACGTTAAACCGACCTCCACCAGAACCAATCCCCTCGCAAAGCCACCCAAATAGGCGTGTCTTCTTTGGGGGGGGCGAGGACTTGGATGTGCGGCCAACTTAGCGAGTTGTTACCCACCTGCGTTATAACCCACGAATAACAAAGTTATCTCCATTGCGGATTGCTTCAATGTGGGCTATTACCTCGGTTACCAGCTGCTTCCTGACTTGGCCGATCTTCCTAGTAGGTTTTACGCTGTCTTTGTTTTGATTCGGCGACCCCCTCGTGGATCTGGCCCTCGCGTTGTGTTGGCGCGGTCCAGGGCCGTCAGCGCCGTCGGACCGTTGGGCGTTCAGGGGAGAGGCAGCCGCATCTCCTTGTGCCATGTCCGCCGCCTCTCTGGCGCCTGTAAATCGGTTTGTGCGCCAGCTGAATCTCTCGGCCGTGAGCACTCAGCTCTGAGAGTCCTTGCTCCAAGGCACAGGCCCGGTCCGCCTCAAGTCATAATCGGGCAGAGAAACCACTCGCGTTGAAAAAGCTTTGAAAATTCCATAAGTTCTCCAGTTCGAGGCAAGCCCATATCCTGCAGATGTTGGTAAGCATCATTCAATCATATTATATATATATATATGCTGAGAAGGATTTCCAGGGTGCAAAACAATCGATGACGATGCATAACGATGCGTGACGAATGTATGTCGATGCTATCTGTATACATATACATATATATTATCAACATACATATGTTGTTGAACTACATGCATGTATGTAAATATATACATATACAACTATATCTAGCTATCACTAGTCAGATGTGTGTTCACAAGATTCTATGTAAAGCCCACTTTAAGTATCCCTGTGGAAACCGCTTTGTGCGCCCAAGCCTTCGCCCAAGCCATTTCTCCCATCCGCCTGGAGATGAACTCCTCCGGGCTGGCGCCTTGAGGTCTCAGAAGGCGGACCTCGGGAGAAGCACTTGCCCAGTTCGGACATGGAAATAAAAGGACAACTTCCTCGGTTGCTTTTTGCTGCTCTTCTAAAAGGTTAACTTTTAGTGGTTTAACGGACTTAGTTGGCCAAAAGTTAAAACGGGAAAACCAAAAGGCTAGAAGCTCGATTCGTTTTGGGCAAGTGAGTTGTAGGTTTCTCCATGGTTTCTCCATGTCTCCAGCTCACTCAACGGGTTTGATTTTGGCCAAAAGAGTCCAAGGCTGGATTCGCCATCGACCATCCAAAACTGGGCGACTATTGAAACTATGGCCACATCAACCCTTGAGGTAAAGGGTAAGGGGACAATGCACCCGTGGTGGTTTGATGCCGAAAAGTTAAACGTTTAATGGGATATGCGGCTCAAACAAATGTACCAGAATGGCACCATGGTAAATGGAGCCAAAGACTAAAACCTGCGCAACCCTGACTCTGTTGGCTTTTGTCTGAGCCACACCCATGTCATAAATCCATCTACTTGCTCAAAGTTTACAAGTCCCAGGGTACGGCCTGCAACTGCCATAGCAATCAATTCCCTGCTTTGGCCGTCGGGACTGGTTTCTCCCTTGGCCGACTGCTAATCCAACACCCACCAAAGAAGATGTTGCGCCTTTCCCCAATTTAGCATAGTGCTGTGTGGTATTTAGAAACCACACAAAGAATTAAGGTCCCGCTGATGGGATCCAGTGGACGGAAATGGATGGAATCCCCTGCAATTAACGGGATAACCCACCTACCAGCTGGTTCGGGATTTTGTCCATCCACAGAAATTTTTGAAATTGTTCAGCCTTGTATGTTTCTCGAGATCTGTTGCCTTGGGCTGCAACGAGTTCCGACAAGTTATGCTCCCCTTACTCCCCCGCTAACAGGGGCGTCTCCCTGTGTCGGGACTTACTGAGAACTAGTTCAGCGCAGTACTCCCTAGAATGCTTTCTGCTCCCCTGCTAAAAGTTTCACTTTTAGTGGTTTAATACGGAAAATCCATTAGTTGGCAAAAAGCTAAGGTCCTAACAT